TAGGTAGCCTTTTGAGACCCCGAGCCCCTGAGACCATTGGTCCAGGACAACACGCTGGAATGACTTCCCGGCGGAACGCCTAAGGGCATCCAGCCTCTAATTAACTCAACTGCGCAGACTAGTGGTTCATCGCAGACACAACATACTTCCAATAACGTACAGGGAGCGAGTATATATCTAAGTTCGCAGTATTCCGGTGGAGGCTCAAATCCAATGTCTGCAGGAAACTTACCCTGTTTAAATGACGCCAGAATAGGGCATTTTTACCCTGCTCTATAGTCATAATAGAGCCTGAAATTAAGACTGACGAATCGGCGGCACTGCCGCGACCTCCAAGTGAGGGAAGTCTAGTAATGCAACCCTGACATAGCAGGTGCAAAAGACCACAGTGCCACTGTGCAACAGGCTCTCAAAACTTTATTAATTAGGACTTAAAATAGACCCACTTTGTCCGGCCCAAATAGGGTGATAGTGATAATTCGCACAACTGATGGGAACCACGCAACCATTGACGTACAAGCGTACGGACATCGCATTTTCAGCTGTCCAGTCAAGGTTGTCGCTTAAAGTAATACCAAATTATACATTTAGTTTGTGCGAACAACTCAAAAAGTCACATCACTATCGACTTCAAAAGAGCGTGGCTCAAGAGTGAACTCCGAGGCGAAATAGAACGAGTTGAACCCGTAACCAATCGGCCAGCGCCCATCTACCCCACATTCCTAATTTACTCAATGCACAATGGTGTTACAAGCCGCTTGTAAAGATTCAAGTGAATTGCCGGAAATTATATTCTCTTAGACTACCGTGCGCAGTGGTGGTGGTGGTCTCGATCACTACTGCTGGTGGCAACGCCGCTGCTCCAAACCAGCAAGTCAGACGAATAAATTATGCTAATGGTATTTAATTCTGTCAACGAAGCGCTCAAGGTCAAATTACCGTAATCGCTTGGCTATCCAGACGAGTTGAGTTATTTGAAAACTTCATAATACTGAAGCAGATGCAAATGAAAATAAAGACACGGTTGAGGGTGCGTGGATTGAAACGTATATTGAAAGAGCCCTCAGGGGATAGCAGAACGTGCTATTCTGCCAATGTTTGCTTTATTTTTGTGTTATTCCCATCATTCCCTCCATGCCTGCATGCTCCCGTCCAGAAGCAAGACAAACCTACTTTGCTTTGTTCATAGAAGCACATAGAAGAGTTCTGGCGGTCGCCACCGCTTTTAATCCCTTACAATCTTCTGACAGTTGGCTGTGTTGCTGCCAATTGCAATTAAGGACCAAGACAGGGAACTCTCGGTTCTCCCTCAGTTGAAAAACCGTAAATTGACTAAATCCCTACGATGTCAGCTATGTATCCTGCTGGGAGAGTCTGAGTAATCCAAAACTGTCCTTTTCCTTCCGCCTGACTGACATCCTAGGACGTGTCTGCCAATAGCTGGGCAAATAGGGTAGCAAACGGGCCTATCAGAATATATACCTCTTGAAAACCTTTTAAAACACCCTTTAGAGTTTCTATTTTGTGCTATATTCTGTTTGGCTGTTCATTGAACTGAGATACTTCTCCCTTAATCCTTTTACAACCTGGATACATCACACAAACTTCCAGGTGCAGCTGGAACCAAACCACAACTTTAGGACTTGTTGTCACTAGAGCAAAGTGCATGAAAGTCAGATGGGGAATGCTAACATTTATGTCCCCTGTGGTTATTTACTAAGATTTTCGAGAGCACATACTTCTCCACAGAAGTTGTATAAACAGACTACGGCACATTTTAATCAAACTTTCAAATTTAAAAGGCTAAGCTTATTTTTTGGAATTCAAAGGCTCTTCATAAGGCATATTCCGTCTACTAATGGTGGTAGAGATCCTCAGTAGTCTACTCAGCAGAACTTGCTCACCTATAACTGGTGTTTCTTTTTTAAAAATTTTATCAATCATACGTAATTTTTGTGCAAGTCAACATCTGTTCCCTCTAGCCTGACATTCAGCTAAGTAATATAATTTAGTTCTCAGGCACAATAGACCGCGATTATTAACTCCGTTAAATATTTTGTCTCGGTTTTCCCTTTGGAGCACTCGGTAAAGTGTAAGCCATCTGGATGTCGGTAAACCAAGGAAGCAAACGTTAAATAGAATGGGCCATTGCCAATACAAATGAAATTGTTGACGGAAAAATTGCCAGCCTCACAACCAGTGGATTTATTCTACTCCCCCCGATCTTGTTCGGGAGCCGTTTAGTCGCATACAA